AAAATCCCTTCCCTCTCCCAGTGGCTCAAATTTCAGTGCTGTGTGATGTCTTAACTTCACTCACTAGCTCTCTTGATGTCTGCCAGGGCAGACCAGTCCCCAGCTTGGAATGTTAAAAAAAAACCAAAAAGGTCCAGGGAAAAAAACCCTCCTGTTCTGATACAAACACCTAAAGAAGCCCAGCAGGGCACCTGGCTTCTGGGCGGGATTTGGCCACACAGAGCAGACTCTGGCAATTTCCCCTGTACAATCAAGTACGGAAACCCCTCCTGGCAAGGGTATGACATGTTACAAAAGGCACATTGCTGGGAGATGAGACAGATGTGGAGTGCTAATGGCGTGCAGTTTTGCTTCAAGTCCAGCCAAGGTCAGCGAGGACTGGAAGACAGTCATTGCTCCAGGTGTAATAAGTTGGGTGGTGCTCAGGTCTTGATCATCACAAAATGTATCTGCCCTGTCATCGGTTTCAGCACCGGGGCCTAGGAGTGGATGATCAGCGGGCCAGGAAAACCGTTCTCTTTCTCCCAGTCAGGCTGGCGGTGGGACACTTGGCTCCGTGAGTGAGCAGGTGATCTGAGTCAGCCAGGTGCCATTTGCCCCTGCTCCGTTTACATGGAAACCAGCCACATCTGTCAGTTGGGCTCTCAGCCTAACGCAGCGAATTCAGACGGGGCGTAAGCGGGTGCACTGAAGTCCAGGGAGGCGGTGCAGACAAGCAAAGGAGGAAATGTCTCCCGCTGTTGTGGGAGGAGAATGCACTGTGCCTAGCTTGGGTGGTAATTATCTATGGCCCACACAGATCTGCTGACCAGCCTCTGGGAGCATAGAAACACCTTTTATTGGACCAGCCATAATGGGGCTCAATAGGGGCAGATCCTTAATGCCCTTCTGGTTAGTAAGCCACCCCCAGGAATGCTTTGAGAATTCAAGGTCGGGTGGAGGGAGGATTGGCCTGTGGAACTCATGGCCACAGGAGGTCACCAAGGGCAAGAGCTTAGTAGGATTCCGAAAGGGACTGGAGACATTTTTATGGAGGAGAGGAACCTCCAGAGTTATAGTAGTAGGGATTTAAAACACCCAAGGGTTTTGGAAGGGATAAACCCTAATACTTCAGGGCTTAAGCCAACTGCTGTGTAACAGAAGCTAAGAGGCACCTTTCCCCTGGGGCAAGTCGTCCCAGAACTGCCCACTGCAGAGATTCATGCACCTGCCTCTGAAGCAGCTGGCAGTGAGCGGATACTGCTGTGATCCTGTATAGCAGTGCCTAGATTCCCCGAACTCCATCGGGATTAGCAGGAGTCGTTAGCCCCTTCCTAGCAGGAGGGGTTGTCCAAGGCGTTCAGAGATGGGCACTAGTGATGCAAACGTACAACGGAGCCTTTCTTAGCAGCCGTGCCCAGCAAGCTGGGCTGTATGCATCTCACTGCTAGCGACTTGCACCCGTCCCTAACCTCCTAACTTTCCCACTGGTTCTCCTGGCTCCTTAAACGGGAAACACCTTCTCTGATTCGCAGAGAGAATCCGTATTCTGCCAGCGCTTCCCACCTGCTCAAATTCATCCACCCGTCTCACTCAGGGAAATGAATTTGGGCCCCTGCTGGGGCTGGGCCCACAAGGTCTGTGAGTCTCCCGGGCTGGGTAGGCCAGTGGAGAGCACAGCTGCGTAAGGGAGAGTGTGTGTGTGTTTGGGTGGGGGGGTTATACTGCACAGTGGGTGAGTGTTAGCTAGACAGCCCTCGTCTGCCTGGGTCTGTGGGGGTTTCAGATAGAACCAGGTGGCTTCCCCCTTCTCTGCTCATACCATATTCCTAGTGTTACCATTAAGGGAATGTAGCAGCTGCCTCTGGTCTTTGCATGCAACATGCATCCAGCCCTTCTGTTGGTTTACGCGTGACTGCATGAGTTCTGGCTGCCTGATACACACTCCAGGTGCATTCACACCAACACACGCACTGACCCACATGCACACACAACCGCCATAGGCGAGCGCGAGTCTGTGTAGCGTGGGTGTCACACACCACCAGGGCAGCTTAGCATTAGAACTGGTCAGAAAATGGCTTTTCTGTCTTGCAAAAAAAATTGAGCTTTGACATTGGGATGAAAAGCCACCGCTTTAAACACTTCTGTGAAACGAAATTCTGCTGAAAAAGTCGTCCTGGCTGCAATCGAAACGTTTTGTTTCGATGAGTTTGAAAGATTTCATTTGGATTTTGACCTTTTTTAATCGTTAACATTTTTTCAATTTCGAAATGAAAAATCAACACTTTTTCTTCCAAAAATGTCATCTTGATATTTTCTCAGAACAGGTTTCTTTCCCATTTTTAAATGAAATTGCATTGAAAGTGATAGTTTTGCACACACACACAAATCAGTTTAATTGAAAAGGCATCTTCCAATGAAATATTGCAAAAAAGATATCCAGCCAGTCGTTCTGAGCATCCACTTCCTACTCTGCACCGATGACACAAGCCGTGGAAAATGAGGCACTTCCTCTTATGATCTCATTAACACACACAGGCTCTGATCAGGGCCCTACTGCGCCAGGCGCTGTACATACATAACCAGAAATGTCCCTGCCACCCAGAGCTTTCACACGCCAACACGCCGTTCTCATGTATCCCCTGTACGCGCACACACATGCTCACACTTACATGCCACTTTCATCTCTGCTTGAGCTGCCGCAGCTGGGGACTGTTGAGGTCGGAGAGTGAACCAAACCAACAATTCCAGAGCCTAGTCCCTCTTCAAACTCCCCCACGCGCTTGTACCTCGCCGCCCCCTGCTTTATAGACACATAGACTTTAAGCTTAGAAGGGACCATCTAGTCTGACCTCCTGCACATCGCAGGCCACAGAACCTCGCCCACCCACTCCTGTTTGGAGGAGCGCTTCCCCCAAGCAGCAAGAGGTCCAGGTCCAGGGCACGGAGAAAAGCTGGTGACTTCACATCCTCCATTGCAGCTTAAACCTCCCTAGCGTTCCAGGGGACCTGGGCAAGACGGCTCTGCAGAGGGCTCCGCTGAATCACCCACGAAACCGGACGCAGAGAGAATCTGATTGCAGTTCTCTGGAGCCTGCCTTGCACCAGCTGAGCTCAGACCCCGCAGCCAGGGAAGGGGCCTGGTGGAAGAGGCTAGCTCACCGCCAGCTCGCGAGTTCAGCCAGCCTCCCGCTGGCCATGCTCCCTGCACATCGGGGGCAGCCAGCTCCATTTGGGGGTGAAGCAGGAGGGGAGCTGCAGCTGCAGAACGAGTTCACGCACCCCACTTTGCAGCTTCAAAGGCAGGAGGGACTCTGCAAGCTGTTCCCTCTCCAGCTGCTCCTCCATAGACAAGGCCTCTCCCCGCATCCCCCCCGGCCCGTAACTTGTCATCACTTTCCAGCAGACAGACCAGATGCTCCTCTCAGGCGCTGGAGCAATCCCCAGCCGCAGCCTGTTGTGGAGACTTTGATGTAGCCAGGCAAAAGGGCAGGAGGCGGGGGAAGGGGGAGGGGGTCGAGCTGGGCCAGACGGGGAGGATGGAGAAGGGGAGCTGCAGGGCTGGTTTTCAAGCCCCAGGGCTGAGGGCCTGGCTGAGCGAATGCAGCCCCGCTTGGGTCTCTTTCGTTATCTGCTGCCTGGGCCTTCGGCTTCTGCCGTGTCCGGAGAATGAGATCAGGATACCGGCTTGCTGGAGCCTTCACACGTTCAGCAGGGCGCAGATGGACGGCTGCCCCTCCGGCAAGGGTCAGACCTTCGGGCTGCTCTAGACCTCACCGACTCCGTGCTGGGCCAGCTACCCGGGTTGTTTCTGCCTTCCACGGCACCCGGTGGGGGGACCTCCTAGCAAGAAGTTAGGCAGGTCTTGTGGCTCAGGCACTGGGTGAAGGACACGGGAGAGCTGTATTCACTTGCTAGCGCTGCCCATCAATCCCTGTGTGGCCTTGGGCAAATCACTTAATCGCTCCCTGCCTCGGGTTCCCACCTGCGCAATGGGGAGAATGACTCTGCCTTGTCTGTTTCGATTGCCCGCTCATCCTCCCGTTGGCAGTGTCGGGGGAGCCAGGTCGAACCCAGGACCTTAGCGAGACAAGGTGGGAGAGGTAGTGCGGGACTGTGTGCTGCTCTACCCAGGGCCAGCTGCATTTCACTGGCGGGCGAAGTGATTCCTGTACTGGAGAGGGCCCACTTGTCCTTACATCCCAGTGTTACAGGAGCATAACTCCACTGACTGAGTTAGCAGTTGCTCCTGATTTACACCAGTCTAAGTGAGAAGAGAGTCGGACCCTTTGTCTGAACAGCACTTCAGCATCCCTTGGCTTGAAAATCACTTTAGACACGTCACTTTTCTTCCCCGTAGTAACCCACCACTTCCGTACAGCTCATGGAAATGGCCTGGACAGTCCACCACAAGAATGATCTTTAGCCATCCGCTTACCATGTGATGTGCTAGGTCTTTGCAAACATTTATTAACTCACAAAACCCACTTGGGAGGCAGATATTATCCCAGGGCTGCTGTAGTCCTCCTTAACCTCTGCCCCTCTCCCCCCAGCAAAAAGTTTTGACGAAAAACTTTTTTGTCAAAAATTCCTGTTGAAAATTTTTGAGTTTTTGTCAAACCCCCTCCCCCCTGCAATGCATTGGTTTCTGACAACTCCCAAAATTAAACCATTTTCAGTTTAAACCTCTCAAAAGTTGGCTTTTGGTTGCTGAAAATTGAAAAAAATCCATTTTGAGGCAGACTCAAAGAGCTTTAATGAAAATGAAACTTTTACCTGAAAAAAGCATTTCTGTTGTGCTAAAAAAAAGCCTTTTTCTGCTCAAAAAAAAAAAAGCGTTGATGGAAAATGTTCCACCAGAGGGGAGACAGCGGGGAAGAGCCATGGCTGCTGATTTGGGAGAGGGCCCAGTGTCTCACACGAGGCCCCGCAAATGGAGGTGCCTGGGGAGCAGGGGGTAAGCATGGGTCTCTCGCTGTCTCTTTTAAGCATCTCATGTTGTCGGCTGTGTTCGCTTGCAGACAGAGAGCTGCAGATCCTGAAGCGCACGGAGGGGGACCCCCGCAAGGCTCACCCCAAGAAGCCCCCGCTGTCTGAGTCAGAGGGCAGCGCCTCCCCCAACAACTCCTCCGAGTTCCTCCCGCCGGTGCCGGACAACAGCAAGAACATCATCCCCGTTTACTGCTCTATCCTGGCCGCGGTGGTGGTGGGGCTCCTGGCCTATGTGGCTTTCAAATGGTACGTGTGGCCTGGCTCACTGGGCTGCTCCAGCTCTGGGGAGGGGGTGCCGGGAGAATCACCGCAGGGGGGGTCACCGGTGCCGCTCAGCATAAGCCGGCTCCCATGCGGGGCACCAGCCAGCAAAGCAAGTGCTCTCCACAGCCACGCTGACTAGGCTGCCCTCCTGGGCTAGCTGACCCCCCCTTCTGGCCTGGCTGTTCCCCCTCCTGGGGGGACCCCTCATGTCTTACCCCGTTGGTGCCTAGCAAAGCCCTTTGGGTCCTGCCGGACATGGGCCCAAACCAGGACCCCAGCTCCAAACCCTGAGCTCTGGGGATGTTCCCGTCGGTCCCTAATGCTGTAATGGGCTAGAATCAGAACACCACACCCCCTGAAACTCTGGGGAAGTTCAGCTTTGGATCCAAAGTCCAGGGCTTAGGCCCGTTTCTGTGAGGGTTGGGATCTTTCCCACTTTGCCCATTCCTCATGGTATGGACATTCATCTCCTCCTGCGCTTTGCATCCAGTTGCTCTCCTCAATACGCCTTCCACTCACCCGCAGGAGTCAGAGAAGTATCATTATCCCCATGTCACAGATGGGGAAACCGAGGCACAGAGAGTTGAAGTGACTAGTCCCAGGTCACACAGCAAGTCAGTGGCACAGCCAAAAAGAGAACTCAGGAGGCCTGACTCCCAGACCTGTGAGCTAACCACTTGACCATGCATCCTCTTCACACCTGAGCTCCCCGGGCTCTGATAAAACATACTGTATGAAAGCAATAGGAGGGACATCCAGCCAAGGGGCAGCACTTGTCTTATGGCAGGAAGGAGGAGCAAGATTATTGTCTAGGGGCTCAGCACAGGACTGGGAGCTGGAAACTCCTGGGTTTCTAACCCAGGCTCTAACACTGACTGCCTCTGTGACCTTGGGTGTGTCCCTTAGCCCTCCTCTGCTTTGCTTTCCTGGCTGGGATCTGGAGGTACCTCCTACCGTGCAGGGGGCAGGCAGGGCAGAGTGATGAACTGGGGGGTGTTTGTAAAGCGCTTTGAAGACGGAAGGCACAAAGTATTAGGAGGGTTTGGCTGGATTCAGTGGGCCAAGTGGATCCTGAGTGCATCTGCATTGAGGCCGCTGGGCCAAGTCCATTGCGGGTGTAGCGCAGCCAGGGATGACTCGGTCGCAGCCTGTTCCGGAGGGAGGGATTTGCCCTCCGGTCACCATGTCCTGCCCGCCGTGCACAAATGTTCAGCCGGGGAACTGGACGGGCAGAGCGTTGTTATTCCCTTCGGGGCAGGGCTGGCCCACAGAAGGGGCCGTGTCCCCTGCTGCATCGGGCATGCTGCTGGGGCCCAGCGGCTGAATAGGATTAAACCTCGTTTGGGGCGCCAGATTAGATCCGTCTCTCCCTCTGTATCTGGCCTCGGCTGGGGAGACCGGAGTAGTGGGCGGTAGATTAATGGGAACCCTGCTGAAAGGATTTCAAACCGCTGGCTGTTCTATTGGAAAGTGCAAAGCCAACCCCTGGCCGGCTCTCTTTGTGCCTGTGTTTGGGGATTTATTTCGTTCCGTGGTGTTTGAGCCGCCCTGCTCCCCTTCCCGCTTGTTTACATTCTTTCTATTCCACTCACATTGAGAGACTCCAGAGCCAAGTGGGTCCCTCCTCCTCCCATATAGATCATAGACCCCATCCTGCCTCCTGCCATATAGTTCACAGACCCCGTCCCTCCTCCTGCCATATAGATCATAGACCCCGTCCCTGCTCCTGCCATGTAGATCATAGACCCCCCCATCCCTCCTCCTGCCATATAGATCATAGGCCCCCCATCCCTCCTCCTGCCATATAGATCATAGACCCCCCTGTCCCTCCTCCTGCCATGTAGATTATAGACCCTGTCCTGCCTCCTGCCATATAGATCATAGATCCCCCGTCGCTCCTCCTGCCATATAGATCACAGACCCCGTCCCACCTCCTGCCATATAGATCATAGTCCCCCCCATCCTGCCTCCTGCCATATAGATCATAGACCCCCCCGCCCCCTTCGCTCACCCTGGCTTCCTTTCCCCAAGCCTCCCTCTGCGTGGTGAATCAGAGAGCATTCACTCGACAGACCCCTTCCCCCCAGGATGTGAGGAGCACCCTGAGTACAGACCCACAGCTCCTTCTGCAAGCGCTGGGGCCGGTGGCGATTTACACCACTTGTATTTGCCGGCATTCGGGACGTAGCAGATCTGAGTCCGATTCCCGGCTCTGCTCCAGAGTCTGGGTGACCTTGGGCAAGTCACTTGAGCACCGAGGGCCACGTTCTGATGCCGGACTCAGCCGGAGCAGTATATATGTAGGCCCCCCCGGCAGGCCTGGGCCAGGACTCCATTGTGCGAGGTGCTGTACAAACAGAGACCCAACACACAGTCCCTGCCCCAAACAGCGTTCTACGAGGCCTCTTCTACCTAGATATATTCCCCCCTTGCTGCCCACTGCCATGCACCCCCTGTTCTCCTCTCTGGTTAGCGGGTGCCTGGTCACTGGGGGCCAGTCCTGGGAGCTGCTGAATGTCTCACCTCCTGCTAGCACCAACAGGGAGGGCGGGGTGGGGCAGCACCTCCCAGGATTGGGCCCTGGCTGCCTACGGCTGTCTGTAGCACAGCAGTGTCCGGTTCCAGCCGAGCGTAGGGCCCTGGTTCGATTCTGAGGTCTATGGGGTGGGGAGCGTCTTTTGGTCCTGCATGTACAGCACCTGGCGCAGTGGGGCCCAGAGCCCGTCCGCCAGCCCTAGGCGCTACCGGGGGGGAGGCGGTACGAACATAGTAAGAGACAGCCCCGCCCAAAGGGCCTAAACACACACAAGCTGAGGGAGGGGAAACAGGCACAGAGTGAGTGGAGTGACTCGTCTGAGGTCGCACAGCAGAGCCAGGGGCAGAACCCAGGCATCCTGAGTCCCAGGACCGCACCCTCTGCTGCCTCCTCGTGCCCTATGAGACCTTTCACCAGTGCTCTCCCTGTTGCACTAGACGTATGCTCCCGTGCACAGACCGGCGCTAAAGGACTAGCACTAGCCACGGGCATTTGCCCCAGCTCTCTGGCTGGGGACAGGAGGGTGGGGGGTGCAAGGTGCATCAAGCTGTTTCCAAACCGGGCTCCTCCATGCATGGGCTGGGAGGACGGGGAGGAGAGCGGGACTGGAGAAAGGGATGGAGTGAGAGAGGCAGAGAGAAGCCGGAGAGGGAGGGTGAAAGAAGTGGAGGCTGGCTAGGGGCAGAGAGACATAGATGGCAGGAGGACCCCCGTCCTCCGCTCCAGCAGCCAGCCCCGGCTGAGCCATCTGTGCCAGGGGTCTGCAGGGGACCGGGCGGGGGGAATTATCCTGCAGTTTGGGAGCCTGCAGAGAAAGAGCGCAGCTGAGCCCGAAAGCCCTTCCCTGCCGAGGCTGCGTGCGCAGGACTGGGCCGGCTAAAACCCCACGGTCGGGGGCAAGCCAGGTGTTGCAACGGGGTCAGTCAAGTGTGGGCGCTCCACTGAGAGGAGGCTAAACTCTGGGGGTGCGAAGGGGGCATATTAACTCCCCATGTGTGCACACAAGGATTCCACCCCCCACCCCCCCACGGCTAGCACGTTACTGAGCCCAGCCGCTCTCCCCCTTCCCCCGCTGCAGCTGGAACACCTGCAAGCAGAAGAAGCAGCTGGCCAAAGCCAGGGCTGGGGAGCTGGGGGCCTCCCCCGAGGGCGAGAAGCTGCACAGCGACAGCGGCGTCTTCCTCGACACGCACAGCCTGCAGGAGCACCACCCACTCAACAAGGGTAAGGCCGTCTCAGCCGCGCCTCAGCAGGGCCACACACCCCAGGGAGGGAGCCTCTTCCACGCACGGGCGTTCTTGGTAGCGTCCACTCCCTTGGGGCGAGGGGCCTTGGCGGTTTCGGGGTTCCCCCAAGGTGTGTGAGCATTGGCGGTTTCTTTGTCCCCCAGGGATATGGTTACTGGCGGTTTCTATGTTCCCCCGGGGATGTGGGCACTGGTGGTTTCTGTGTCCCCCAGGGAGTATGATGGACCCGTTTCCAGGTTCCCCCCCTCCCACCCAGGAAGTCTGGGCCTCAGCAATTTCTGGGTCCGCCACAGTTGAAAATGTCCCCTGGGGACCAAACAGATGCAGCATTTGGTTTACAGTCCACCCATGAGGAATCCCAAAGGAAGCTGGGACCACGCCATTGCAGATGGAGTGGCTGCCGTGGCAAAGTGGGCTGCCGGATAGACGCCCTTATGGGCCCCGAGGGTCCCCTCCCAAAGGCGCCGACTCTGTGGGTGCTCCGAGGCTGGAGCACCCACAGGGAAAATTTGGTGGGTGCTCTGCACCCACCGGCAGCTCCCAACCCTGTTCCCCCCACCCCAGCTCATCTCTGCCTCCGCTCCACTCTGCCTCCTCTGCTGAGCGCACCACTGGGTCCTGCTTCTCCCCCCTCCCTCCCAGCACTTGCGCCGTGAAACAGCTGTTTCGCGTGGAAAGCCTGGGAGGGAGTGGGGAGGAGGAGGAACGCAGCGCGCTTGGGGGAGGAGGCGGGGCCGGGGCGGGGATTTGGGGAGGGATCCAATAGGGGCAGGGAGGGGCGGGGTGGGGCACAAGCACCCACCAGCGCTGACAAAAGTTGGCACCTGTGTCCCCTCCCACTGTATAGCCTTAGTCTGGGGCCACCATCTCTCTGGTTGGGGAGGACAAAGTAGGGACTGGCTGGTGCCGCTGCATAAATCAGCCAGAGAGGGCACTGTGGGATGAATACAGGGACCCAGACCAGGAATGGAACCAGGCCGGGCGCTTATTTGGGTAGATAATGGGTTCGAGTGGCTCTTTTTGGAGCCCCCCGGGGCTAAAGATTGCAGCCTCTCTGGCTTTCTCACCCTGGGGGCCTGCTCCAGCCAACCTGCCACAGCAAGAGGTGCTCAGAGCTCTGAAATGTGGCAGGATTGGGTCCTAGCTCCTTAAAGGGAAGCCACAGCTATTACGGTTAGTTGTGTTACGCGCCAGTGTGGGCAGAAGAACAAATGGCTAGAAACTGGCCATCAACAGTGAGCAGCTCACCTGAGAAATGTTTCCTGCTTTCCCCCAAATTGTGGGATCCCGCCCCATCCTAAATGACCTCTGAAGGAGGCCTAGGCTGGGCGATATCAAGCCTGGACCAATGACAGGTTTAAGGGCTGTCATCCTGCATCTCTCGAGAGCTAGAAATGGAAGCTTTCCCCCACTGGAAAGGGTCAGTGTCCACTTTCCCATCAGAACGCCCAGGGCTTGCGGCTAAAGTCTCTAAGCAATTAAACCTTAAATGCCTGCCTCTGTGTGTTGGTTCATTTTAATACATGTTTCCCGCTGCCCTCCACACAGTTGGACCCAGTGGCCTAAGGTTGCCAACCCTCCTGGATTGGCCAGGAGTCTACCAGAATCGGCCTCCATGTCTCCCGGTGGCTATTGAAGGCAATCTGGGAGATTTTAATAGGTCGTTAAAAGTCCGGTCAGTGGTGCTGCGGGGCTAAGGCAGGCTCCCTACCTGCCCTGGTGCCGCGTGGCTCCCAGAAGCGGATGGCATGTCCGGCTCCTAGGTGCAGGGGCAGTCAGGGGATATCCACGCACTGCCCCTGCCCCAAGCGCTGACTCCACAGCTCCCATTGGCAGGGAATGTGACCAGTGGGAGCGGTGGAGGCGGTGACTGCAGGCAGGGGCAGCGCACAGAGACACCTGGCTGCCCCTGAGCCTAGGAGCCGAACATGCCGGTCACTAGGAGCCACGCGAGGTAAGCGCTGGCTAGCCAGAGCCCACAGACCTCCCCCTCTCCCACACCCCAACCCCTTGCGCCAGCCCTGAGCCCGGTCCCACACCCAAACTCCCTCTTGGAGCCCACACTCCGAACCTCCCCCCTGCACTCCTGCTCCAGCCCTGAGCCCCGTCCCACACCCTGAACCCCCTCCTCCACCCCAATCCCCAGCCCTGAGCCCCCTCCTGCACTCCAGCCCCCTTGGCCCCAGCCTGGAGCCCCCTCCTGCACTCCAAACCCCTCATCCCCGGCTCCACCCCAGAGCCTGCACCCCCAGCTGGAGCCCTCGCCTCCTCCCGCACCCCAACTTCCTGCCCCAGCCCAGTGAAAGTGAGCGCTGGAGGGAGCGGGGGATGGAGTGAGCAGGGGTGGTTTCTCAGGGAAGGGGCGGGGCAGGGGGCGGGGCAAAGGTGTTTGGGTTTGTGTGATTAGAAAGTTGGCAACCCTACAGTGGCCATGTGTGCTTTTGAAAACCCAGCCCCTTGTTTTGGTCCCTAAATGGAACCCGATCCCGTTGGAGCAAAGGGATGCAAAACCCCACCCGTAAAACAGTCCAGGTTTCAACGTTGAGCACTTTCCATTCGTTACCAGGCGTAATACAAAGCTGGGGGGATTGTTAAACAGCCCCCGGAAATGCTGGCCAGCAGCTTGGGCCAGGGAGTGGAGAACACTGTACCCCCCGCCCCCGAAACTCCAGGGTGATTATTGGCGACGCGCACTTGACCTATGCCACCAATGCACTGCGAACGGCCATTCTGTGACCAGCCCCGGGAAGCACTCCGGGAAAGGCGGCTTTAATGCCGAACGTGGGACAGGCTCTCTTTGGTGATTCAGCCACAAGACGTGGCCCCCCTTTGGCATCCAGGGTGACGACTCAAAGCGGGAGGGGCATGCACCGAATCCCCAGGACCGCTTCCTCCAGCACCGGGAGGTCTCGTAGCCGAGCACTGCTCAGCTTAGAGCATCAGACACAACCCCGGGGCATCGTGTGCTGGGACCTGCCGGGGCGGTGCCTGGAACAGGAGGGCGGTGGCTTCTCTTCAGGTAGCGCTTGTGTAAGGATGCAGGGCTAACGCCGGCTCCCTCGCGCGTCCCGGCCCTGACTCTCTCTCTGCCTGTCCCTTCGCAGCGCACAAGGCTGAGCCCCGGCTGTACAGCGCCCTGCCACCCCCAAGCAGGAGGAGGTGGAGCAGCTGCTGGAGAGCTCCAGCCACGGCAAAGACTGGCGCTGCCTGGCCAGCCAGCTGGGCTACGAGGACGAGGCCATCGACACCTTCGGCCGGGGCGAAGCCCCCGCCCACACCCTTCTCTCCGACTGGTCCGCCAAGGAGGGGGCCACGCTGGAGGCCCTGTGCGCAGCCCTGGCCGGCATCGAGCGGCCGGACGTGGTGGAGAACTTGACCGGCCCCACTGAGGCCAGCTCAGTGGTGTAATGGCAGGGGCAAGCCAGCAGGGAGATGCGCCCCCCCACGCGAGAACCGGACTCGCCAGGAATTTTAAATGGCAACAAAAAAGAAAAGGGGGGAGGGGAACAAATTTTGTTAATTATAAGGGAACTTTGAAAAAAAAAAAAAAAGCAACGAAACAAACAAAAAAAGCCATGGAGCAGCGGCCTTTGGAGGGACCAGGTGGCGCACCATGATGGGACTGGCACGTGAGCCCAGCGTCCCCTACCGGCGGCGACCGGACCTGCGGGTACCACAGGCTGTGGCAGCAGGGGAGCTATGCCTTAATATTAGGGCAGCCTCTTTAGCACCAATGGACGGGACCTGGGATTCTGGGGCCAAAGGCTCTGGGTCCTCTCCCCGCTTGACCATGGGCTTGGGAGAGAGCTAGCCCCTGAGGCGAGCGGGTGGGTGATGCCTCACAGCCTGGCAGGGAGAGAGGCTGGCGTTGCTGGAGAGGGAGGGGAGTTTGTGGGGATGGGTTCTCTGCCCCTTTGACTCTGTCCCGTCTGGCCTGGTGCAGCTCCCGCCTTGTCATGTGGTTTCCTTCCGTCACGTGGCCATTGTAACCCCTGGGGATTAACCATGGGCTTTCCCCTTCCCTGTGCGCCATCTGGAAGAGCCCTCAGCCATACAGGGAGCCTGTGGACCCTGACCTGCCAGGGCCAAGCCATTCACCCTCCCCATGCCTAGGGGTTGCTCGCAAAGGACGGTTCCCAGAATCCTTTAGGGTGCTGCCCTTGGGGTGGGGCCTCATGGACATTTTAGGGGTTCAGCCCTTTGCCCTTGGGCCCAGTGGCATATGGGGACTTCCAAGTGACCCAGCAACCTCCCTTCAGCCAGAAACCAGAGAGGGAACGGGGGAGGGAGAACCAGCCGGCTGCTCCTTTGACCCTGCGGCCCCCCGGCAGCACTGCCGGTGATCCCCCTGCCATGGGATTCAGGACCCCGATGCTGGGAAGTGCTGGCTGAGCCTGGCACTAGGCACAGGCCATTATAGTTAGGCCTTTGCCCCAAGGTGCAAAGATCATGCCGTGTCCCCTGCCCCACAGAATGCCTGTTGGGGTGGCCATGCCAGCCTGCCCCTGGCGGGTCACCACCTGCCTGCCTGTGTCCCGAACTGTGCTCTGTGACTGCCCTCTGCTGAGCTGCTTGGCACGCTGCCCCGGGTCCCGGCTGCCCCCAGCACCAACCGCTGGAGCCTCAGCCCAGCCAGCTGGAGCGGCCGCAAGCGGCACGTTTGCTTGCCGAGCTGGGCCGTTTCGGCGCAGCAGACGGAAGGAGCTGATGGCCCCCCTGCCCATGGGGCAGCTGGGGGCAGAGCTCCCATCGCTGATGGAGGCCTGTCGTCAGCCCTGGCTCCACAAATGGTTCCCCTACAATAAGACCTTCTCCCTGCCCCTGCACTGGAGGAATGAAACCAACCCCCCACCCCAGGTCTGCAACGCTTGGCAAAGTGTTTCCGCGTGAGCCCAGCGGTGCTGAACCGCCGCGGGAGAGCAGGCTGCAGAGCGGCACCTCGCCGGTGAATGGAACCAGCCTGCCAGAGCAACCATGGCCCCAAAAGCTCGCCAAGTCCCCCACTGGCTGGACCTCCTTAGCCTTAATTTCCTGGGCTCAGCTCGTGGCCAGAGGCTGGCTGAGTCGGTGCGAGCCTGGCTCCTGCTAGTGACTGTAATAGGCTGCTGGGGCCAGACTGCTGTACCCCAAGAAGTAGCTGCCCCTCTGTTGGGTGCAGCAGGTCCTCAGGTCAATCCCTCGTGAGAGCCCTGCTACGATCCCTGCTGGGCGTGCAATGGGCTTTTCTGGGTCAAGGTAACGGCAGACCTTGCCCTGTGTTATTGCTCTGCTGCGTACTTTGGAGAATTGGGGCAGGGAGGGTGTGGTCTCGTGGGGCGCCCGCCCCACAGGTGATCAGCTGCAGCAGGGCTGGTCTAATGGGACCTTCGGGAAGGGCTAAGTAGCACGGGAACGCACATCAGCTTTAGCCTGTAAGCTAAGGGCGCCTCCTCCTTTTCTTCTTCTTCGTTTTAGGACAGTTTTTGCTGTACTTGACTTCTCTGCCTGCTCTAGTGTTGTATTGTTCGGCCTCTCGTTGTGTATGACTCTGCCGTGTCGGAGGACATGGGTGTAATGCTCACGTGTTACAAACCAATTGCATTAAACGCGCGTCGGTGGAGCTGTGGCCTTTGGGAGGTGGGCTCCTGGGCAGGGGAGTGGGTGAGTAGGCGCAGCCAGCATGCCAAGCCAATGAAACACGAGGCATGACGTCAAGAGCAAGGAGCCCAGTCACCAGCCAGGATCAGACCAGTGGCCCAGCTAGGCCAGCACCAGATGCTTCAGGAAAAGGTGTCTGAAGCCCTGGAGGAGGCAGTTATGGAATAACCTGTCCCCAAGGAACTTTCCCTCCTGACCCTGCATAGATGCAGTTGGTTTAAGACCTGAAGCTTGAGCATGAAAGCGTCACCCCCCTCCCCCTGGGTGAGTCCAACCAGTGACAGGCTCCTCCCATGGGAACGCTTTTGCGCTATGGGATGGCACGTGGCCTGGAGGTGTGGCTGAGCTTGCTGAGGAGGTGTTGCGTGTACACACAAACCCAGCATTTAGCTTTTGTAAAGGCTGCCTCCCCCCCCCCCCCAACTTTCTAGGTGGCAGCTGGCAGGGGGACAAGATGCTCGGGTTTGCTGGCATGGTCCTGGTGCTGCAGGAGCAGACTGGTGCCCTGGCCTGGTTGCACTGGGCTCTAATGGTAACTGCTGCCCATGTGCCAGCACCCCACTGCCCACAGCGCCTCCCCCAGGCAGCCAGATGACGCTGCTTCCCTGGTCCCTGCAGCCTTTCTATCCTAGTTGTGCAGCGGGGAGCCGACCGGGGGCCACTTGTGAGCCTGAATGGGAGCAGCAAGCCCTGGCTGCCCGCGCCCCATCGGCAGCTCCCCCAATACACAGCCCTGCCACATGCCAGCCTCCCTCCTGATGCTGGGAACACGGCCAGGATGCCGTGGACTCGGGCCCCAAAGGCAGCAGCTGGTGGGCCAGGCTCAGCCCCGCCACACCCTGCTGGGGGCCTTGCACACTGGCTCGCCCATCAGCCCCCAGCACACTGACCACCCCCACCACCCGGGAGCTAGGCTTTAGATTTGCCTGTGACGTCCCCTTGACCTTGGGCACACAATAAACAACCACTAGGTGGGGCCGCGGCAGGGCCTCCCCTGGGTGCAGGGCAGGTGCCAGGGGCCTCCCCCGGGTGTGGTTGGGGCCAGGGGCCCCTCCCCCAGCTGCAGGTTGCCATCCTTGCTAGGGGTGTCCCTGGGTGCAGGCAGGCAGCTGAGCTGAGGGTGCTCCCAGGCCCGCTGTCCCCTGGCACAGGTACCATGCTGATGGAAGCAGACAGGGCCGCTGCCCAGGTCCCCATCCCTATTTGCCCTTCCTCCTGCCTGGCGAGGCTGCCAGTGTTCCCGGGTCCAGCTGCTGCTGCGGGCTGGGCTGACAGAGCAGGACTGGAAGCCCCCGTCGCTGGCGGGGTACCCTTGGGGGATGGGGTTCCGCCCTCATGGTCACGGGACCAAGGACTGCGCTGGCCTAATCAGCTCACCGTGGCTCCAGCTTCCACAGGGTAAGAGCTCAGCAGTGGCCCCCGGAGCCCCCTTACCTGAGTCACTGACCAGGAGGGTGCCGCAAGGGGCATGTTGCTTATTACAGATGAGCCGTAAAACCAAGGCCCTGCTTGGGCTGAGTGAGGATGTCCTGGCATGTGCCCTAGGATCATCCCCAGCCACCTTCCACTGTTGGTCACTAGCTTCTGCCTCAAATTGCCCCAGGAGCCTAGTGATGTCCAATAGCACCTGTTCCTAGAGAATAACAGCCTGCTACTACAGCTGGCTGATGGAGTCAGTCCGTCAGCTCACCTGGTGAGGTGAAGGGCCTGGATCCAAACCCTGGTGCTGACCCAAACACCAAGGGCAGTGGTGGGTTGCGGGGGCGGGATTGTTACCGACACTTTAAGGGGGTGCCCTGTCTAGGATCCCCCTGGGGAAGCTTCCCCACTCAAGCAGCTGGCCTGCCCATCCTCGTTCAGCAGCTGGTGGTGGCTCCGGCAGGGGTTACGTGCCCTGGGCTAGCTGGGGAAGAGCGTCGCTGAGGGATGCAGCAGCTCCAACGGTCCATGTGGCTTCCCCTGACAGACCCGGCCCCAGTTCCTGTCCCAGTGGCCCTGCACCTCGGGGAAAGCTCTCAGGGCAGGTCCCATATGGGGCCGTGGAATGTGAAGGCAGCAGGGGATGGTAACGGGGCTAATTCCCCAGGCCCCAGAAGCTGGGCAACAACTGCTTCTCCTGTGCCCTGACCCCTGGGTACAACGGCCCCAGCGAAGAAGCCCCTGTGCCCACATGGGGGCCGTGCGTTGGGGGGCTTGCGAAGAGCCCAGCTGTGGAACTGGAGGTGCAGTATAGGCTGGCACAGGGGCAGGTCTTCACCCAAGGACCCTTCCCCAGGAGCATTCACAGCTCCCCCGTCCAGAAAACACGCAGGGCTCATGCCCCGCTGGGTGGAGCCTACTGCACCCCCGTGCGCTATGGGGTGGGTTCCAATAGCACAGCGGGCCTGGATGTGCTAGGCGCTGTCCTGAACCTAGGCAGAGCCCAGCCCAGCCCTGCCCTGAGACGCTCACAGTCCAACTAGAGAAAAGCTGGAGAGGGGAAATGGGCCAGAGATGGGGCCTTGCCCGGGAGGTGCAGCAGCTCAGCCTCTGGGGCTAGAAGCAGGTCTCCCAAGGCACAGTGCATTTCTCTACCCACTGGGCTACCCTGCCCCTAACCCGCCCTCCCTGCCTTTCTGCCAGGGCACAGGCTCTCGCTGGAGCATGCAGGCGCCCAGCCCGCAGAGCCAGGCCTGGCCGGCCGCTCTCCATGCCCCGCACGGACCTGTGGGCTCGCACTGCGAACGTGCCTGCTGCCCGGGGCTGGCCGATCCATGGGACGACGCTGAGCAGCTGATGCTCATGGAAGCCAGGCTGGGAAACTGGATCCCAGAAGGAATGGCAAGGGGTGGGGGCGGGGCAGGACCGGGAGAGTCTCTTCCCTTGAAAGTCAGCCAGGGCCGCTGTTGCGGCCAAGAGGAACAGAGATTTCCAGAGCCCCTGGAACTGCGTTACACTCTTAACAAAACACACAGGGACCTCTCACCTAGCACTGTTATGCAGCCACCTCTGGGGTGTGACATGGCAGCTATTTAGCAGCTCCCTACAACAGCAATGCAGCCACCGCAGGGTCGGGCGGGGGGACACAGCAGTTGTTTAATGCTCCAGGAGGTTACAGTGGAGGGGAGGCCCCATGGCACACGGGGTTACATTACACCTCTAGGCAGGATCGTGTTGCTTACAAAGGCAGCAGAGGCATCCGGCAACCGCCCACAGCTGAGAAGGTGCAGACAGGCCTGATGCTTATGGCTGGGAACAGCTTGATTCCACCAGCCCCGCAAAGAGGCTGGCTGGGGAAATATGCTGCTGGGGTGTGATCCAAACCCAGTGGGAGTCTTCCCAGCGACTTCAAGGGGCTGGGAAGCAGGCCCCCTTTGTCTACAGACGATGGGGCAGGGCGGGAATGAACAGGGGACTGGCGCGGATGCCTGCCTGATCAAACCCAGCCGTGGCTGGACGCTCTGCCCCCCACCAGCCGGGAGCTCTGCCCAGCTCACAGAGCCAGGGGCCGTCTCTGCTCTGCTGACAGTCTGATGCCAAGTGAGCCGGGTGCCTGGCCGGTG